AAACTAATATGTGGTGATTGGCCCTTCCTTTTATTAATGTTACAAGAGCTGATTTGTTTAGAATACATGATGGTACTAAAATAACACACTGTATTCATTCCTGGAATCAATCACACACTTGTACTACACATCCATATGTGTTGGGAATTGCAGTGGGCTTAACTATTAATTCAGGGAAATTAACCTATGAAATAAAAGCAGAAAAAAATGATTTTTAAGACATGTATTTCTCCTACTGATGTCACGGAAACTGCTAATATCATACCTTTTAAGTGAAGAGCTTCTGCCTAGCTACTGGTGAATCTCGCCCAAGAATGGGAAAGTGAAGGAGGTTTAGATCACTTTGTTTGGTTGTTACAAACAGATATTCAAGACAGAAAGTGTAGAATTAAGCGTTTTCTAGGTTGGTTTTTATTTGCTATAATATCGGCTATCATAATATTAGCTGCTGCATCTACTGCTATTGCATCATTAACAGAATCAGTATAAATGGCTCACACTGTTAGCCAGGCTTTGCAAAATGTCACTAATGAACTTAGTGTTCAAGCCACCACTGATGAAAAGATAATGATTCGCTTAGATGATTTAGAATCTGCAATGTTATGGTTAGGAGATAAACAAGAAGCTTTGCATATACATGTTTCTCTACAATGTGATTGGGAGTTCCACAAGCAGGATATGTGTGTTACCTCATTACATTGGAATCAGTCTATACACGGATGTGATATAGTTAAGAAAACATATTCAAGGGGCATTTGATACTAATCTACATAACAGAATCAGTGTTGTCAAACATCAGTTGCAAGAGCAATTGAAAAACCTACAAAGGACGCAAACAGAACCAGTTCTAAAAACCTTAAGAGATGATCTTTCACAGGTAAATCAGAAAAATTGGTTTTCTGCATTAAATTTACAAACTTGGGTATATCTAGGTATCAGATTATTGTTTAAAGTAAATTTTGTAGTACTCTTGGGAATAGCTATTAACGTAATACGTGCCATCAAAATTAAACACAAGCAGATCATGTTTATGTTGTTGTTAAAAACAAAAAACAGGAATTGTGGGAATACAGGTGACCTGCGAAAAATCTCAGGCAGTCAAAGGTGTGAGGGACCTAACCTGAAAGCATCACAGATGTGAATAACAAACGATGGTATGCAGCATATCCTGTATGGGTGGACACAAGCTGATAAACAGAGATAATACTAATTATAGTGTTGGAACTGATCAAAGCTTAGCTAGTACAATACCAACAATAGCTGACTAGTTAAGATCTAAAACCAGCTTGTGTGATTGTCATGGTTTAAGCCCAGTCAGCCACGCAGCTTGTTCACTCACTCTCCCCCCTTCCTCCGCCCCGCTCACAGAGGGATGGGGAGGAGAATCGAAAGACTATAACTCCCACGGGCTGGGATAAGAGCAGTCCAGTAACTAAGGTATAACAAACCACTGCTGCTACCACCAACAGTAATAATGGTAAGGGAAATAACAAGGGAAGAGAATACAACCACTCACCACCTGCCGAGTGATACCCAGCCCGACCTGAGCAGTGATCTAGCCCTTCCGGGTAGCTGCCCCCAGTTTATACAGTGGGCATGACGTGCTGTGGTATGGAATACCTCTTTGGCTAGTTTGAGTCAGGTGTCCTATCTCTGCTTCCTCCCAGCTTCCCTCCTTCCTGGCAGACCATGAGACTCAGAAAGTCCTTGGTCAGACTAAACATTTGAGCAGTAAATAAAACATCGGTGTTATCACACTGTTCCCAGGCTGAAAGTCAAAACCACAGCACTGCAGCAGCTACTAAGACTGAGAAAAATGACTGCTACTGCTAAACCCAGGACAGTATCCACCCCTTATTCCATACTGTTCACGTCATGCTCAGATCCCACATTTTCAGTCGACCATCACTCTTATCTCATATATATACATAGAATCAAGAATCATAGAATCATAGAATAGTTAGGGTCGGAAAGGACCTCAAGATCATCAAGCTCCAACTCCCCTGCCATGGGCAGGGACACCTTGCTCTAAACTATATTACCCAAGGCCTCATCCAACCTGGCCTTGAACACTGCCAGGGATGAAGCATTCACAACCTCCCTGGACAACCTATTCCAGTGCCTCACCACCCTAACATGAAAGAATTTCCTCCTTATATCCAATCTAAACTTCCCCTGTTTAAGTTTGAACCCATTACCCCTTGTCCTATCACTACAGTCCCTAATGAAGAGTCCATCTGCAGCATCCCTATAGGCCCCCTTCAGATACTGGAAGGCTGCTATGAGGTCTCCACGTAGCCTTCTCTTCTCCAGGCTGAACAGCCCAAACTTTCTCAGTCGATCTTCATACGGGAGGTGCTCCAGTCCCCTGATCATTCTCGTGGCCCTTCTCTGGACTTGTTCCAACAGATCCATGTCCTTTTTATGTTGAGGACACCAGAACTGCACACAGTACTCCAGGTGAGGTCTCACGAGAGCAGAATAAAGGGGCAGGATCACCTCCTTCGACCTGCTGGTCACGCTCCTTTTGATGCAGCCCAGGTTATGGTTGGCTTTCTGGGCTGCAAGCGCACACCGCTGGCTCATGTTCTCATCGACCAGCACCCCGAAGTCCTTCTCTGCAGGGCTGTTCTGAATCTCTTCTCTGCCCAGCCTGTAGCTGTGCCTGGGATTGCTCCGACGCAGGTGTAGGACCTTGCACTTGGCATGGTTAAACTTCATGAGGTTGGCATCAGCCCACCTCACAAGCATGTCAAGGTCCCTCTGGATGGCATTCCTTCCCTCCAGCGTATCAACCGAACCACACAGGTTGGTGTCATCGGCAAACTTGCTGAGGGCACACTCAATCCCACTGTCCATGTCAGCGACGAAGATAAATATATATACATATATATATACACAGAGAGAGAGAGAGATCATTCCTTAGTGCATGGGAATTCCCTATAAAGCTGCTGAGCCCATTCTTTCCAGGATGTCATGCTCCATCTCTTGTAACAGCCTTTCTGAGGAGGAGAGGCTGTGTGCACTGTTCACACTCGTGAATAACCTGGGTAATAGTGTCTATTATTAAGACCACCCCTTGATCATGAGCCCATCTGTATGTTGCATTTCTGCTCTAATGGCCTGAAGTGTCATGGGCCCACCAGGCTCAAAATAATTCACTCTCCCCTTCAGCAGTTTCTGCAACTTGTTGTAGGGGACTCCATACAGCTGCCTTCCATCTCCAATGCTTCCAAAGCACTGGAGGGGCCCGCTGGATTGGACAGTTGCCCATTCTGTCCCCCACACCCTGCCACTCATGATTGTCCAGCCTCTGCGAAAATCTCTTGGTTTTCCTCCTATATCATCCTCTAATCCTAGACAAAGCCCAAGCCTGACTCTGCTTAACTTTCAAGGTCAGACAAAATGGTCATGGGTAAAACACACTCTGTATGTGTGCCAACATGGTGATCCCCATCACAATCAGCAGGCAGGTCTCAAGGGTACCCAAAGGCCATTCAAAACCTTCAGAAGTCTCAAATGATGCTGCTGTACTTGTCACAGGGGCTGGTGCAGCTGCTGTGCTTGGAGCTGGATTAGCTGCGCTGGCTGCTGCAGTCAGAGTTTGAGTATCTGCTGTAATTGTAATTGGGGTAGGTGTAGCTGTGCTTGGAGTTTGAGTAGCTGCTATACTTGTCAATAGGGTGTGTAAGGATGTCTCCCTCAAAGGCTTACCACCTGAGGAGGAGACGTGTAATTGCTGAACACTTCTATTATATGCCTCCCAAAGTACAGAGGTGGTGACCTCACTGGGGACACAAGCCAGATAAGTTTTATGGTGAAAGAGTCTATTGTATTACAAGTCATTACCATAAAGTACAATGAAACAAGAACCTTAGCCCAAGGCCTCCACCTGATAAACACTAACACAACAAATACCAGCTGTAAGTAAGGTATGACATGCTGAAACTCCGAGATCAAGAGCAACAACTTTGAGAGCCAATAAATCAGCATTGTGATGAGTGACTATTAATCTGAAACAATGAATGCTTGTCACAAATATGATTAGACACACTCCCGTCAGATCTTATCTCAAACCTTCGTGCCCCATGTTGAGCACCAAAAAGAGCTGTCGTGGTCTAAGCCTAGCCGTAAATCAGAACCACGCAGCTGTTCACTCACTCCCCCACTTATTTCCCCCCACTCCTGGAGTGATGGGGAGGAGAATCGAAAGAATGTAACTCCCATGGGTTGAGATAAGAACAGTCCAGTAACTAAGGTATAACACAAATCACTACTGCTGCCACCAATAATAATAATGATAAGGGAAATAACAAGGGAAGAGAATACAACTGCTCACCACCTGCCGACCGATATCCAGCCTGACCCGAGCAGTGATCTAACCCTTCCGGGTAACTGCCCCCAGTTTATATAGTGGGCATGACGTGCTGTGGTATGGAATACCCCTTTGGTTAGTTTGGGTCAGGTGTCCTGTCTCTGCTTCCTCCCGGATTCCCCTCCTTCCTGGCAGACCATGAGACTCAGAAAGTCCTTTGTCAGATTAAACATTGAGCATTAAATAAAACATCAGTGTTATCAGTGCTGTTCCCAGGCTGAAAGTCAAAAAAACACAGCGCTGCACCAGCTACTAAGAAGGAGAAAAATGACTGCTACTGCTGAACCCGGGACAGCATTGCGGGAATACAGGCGACCTGCCGAAAATCTCAGGCAGTCGAAGGTGTGAGGGATGGAACCAGAACAGCCATAAAGCATCACAGATGTGAATAACAAGTGTTGGTATGCAGCATATCCTGTACGGGTGGACACAAGCTGATAAACAGAGATAATATTAATTATAACGTTGGAACTGGTCAAAGCTTAGCTAGTAAAAAACCAACAATAGCTGAATAGCTAAGATATAAAAACAGCTGGTGAGATTTTGTATAAATATGGCAGGATGCTCAGTAAAAGGTGATTCAATCTGCACATGCATTCTGTCTCCATCTCATACTTCTCTGCAGGTTTAGACTGGTGTCTTGTTGACAGAAACTGAAAATCTATCCTAGAATTCAGCAGAAGCTATAAGCAGGTAAGGTATTTTGCTCTATTCTGTTTTGCAATGTATGTATCATAAAGTGTGGTAGTGTTGCTTTTTCCCTCATCATGCTTTCCCTCCATTCAGTATTCTCTGAGCACTGAAGAAGAGAGAAAAATGACATTAACCACTTCCTGCTGACAGAAGTTAGTCTGGTGGTAAAGGTGGAAGGGATGCCTCTTATGACTACAGAAATCAAGATCTCTCTTAAATAAAAGAGACACTTTTAAAAAGAGTTAGCAGGAAGAAAAAAATAGAGATTTCAAAACTTCCCAAAGTTTCTGAAACTGTCTTTCAGAGAACTGTGCAGAATGTCAGTCTGCAGCATCTGACTTCAGCACACAGAGGTTCAAAATCTGTGCCTCTGACTAGAGACAAACTGCCAGAGTGTTGGTGAGGAGGTGCTGCCACTTAAAACCTGGCCTAGATTTAGGTCCCTTCGATTCCAAATGGAGTTGGAGCCAAATGTGGTAACAGAGAAAAACAAGCTGTAAGAGAACAAGTCTTCCTAGCAAAATATTTTATGGAAGCTGCCCCTGAGGACTTACCCAGAATTGCACAGCATATGGTGAATACTTGCATCTGTACTTGAAACCAAGAACTTGAACTAAGGTCTCTGAGCACAAATATAATGAATGCATCAAACTATCCTTATTTAACTGCCTGTCTCCTTCAATCATATGTAAACCTTGTCTAAATGAGAGCCTGTCTCTCCTAATGATAATGTGGAAGCTGTGATTATCTGAGGTGTGGAGGTGAACGGTATCATAAGGATAACAGATGGTAGGCAGTTCTTAGTGGGGATATGGTATGGCTGGCTGTGCTGTGGTGAAGCTACCTGCAGAAGCTGAAGCCGTTATCTTTTCTGGCTGCCTGTTTTGCCTCCTAGCTGGAGATGATTGCCCTTATGGTGTTGGCAGGATCGAGTGTGAACACTTGGTGGCTCTGTCACCCAATGCTGCATGGACAGGCAGGTTCCTTTATGGATCTTTGCTGGAATGAGGACTGACCACAGGGCTGTAGTACAATTAGGGCTTTATTATTGCATAAAATACTTAATTATCTGCATAGCTTATTGTTATCTACAATTTCAAGCATTTAGTGTACTTTATTGTTATACAAATATTTTATCAATTATCATACTTTGTTAAGCAAAATTTCTTGTAATCAGTGTAGCTTTCTTTATTATCTAGAGTCTTTAGTTAACCAGACATTTAGTCACCTGGACCCTTTGCAGTTTGGGTCGAATTCTTAATAATCAGTATGAGATACATAATCAGAATCTGAATTTAGACTTCACTGAAAAGAAGTCACTCGATCTTCAGAGGAAGATGACAAACAGTGGATACATCCCAGACCACTGGCAGATCACACGTTTTGCTGTCCAGCAGCACAACTTGCATCTGCTTGATTTCATAGGCAATATCTCATGTGTTACTACGCTCCCCTGTTCCATAATGGGTGTCACCACATCCTGGCAGCAATGCTCAGTGGGCAGTCTTGTCACGATGCTGACAGGAGATCTGTCTGTTCTACAACAGGGCTCATCACATCTTGGTGACAACTGTGGTATTGAAAAGGGGGAGAGAGAAGTTGATATGAGGTCAACATGCTTATATTTTATGGCTTTTTGTCTTAGGAAATGGCTTTGGTTATGCTAACCATATTACCAGGAGTCAGGAGCAGGGCATACCAGTCACATGGGTACAAAGGAAAGCCTTATCTTACTGTAAGTGTTCTTCCTAGACAAAAATCAAACACTACACTCAAGCAGTTGAGGCATGTACATATATCACTGCCATCTCTGACATGGAGACAATAACTTACAGCAGATGATTGTAAATATTACTTTACTCATAACTTCAGCTGTGAATATGTGCCCTTGACCAGGGAGAACTGTGGATCACAGTATCACAGCATCACAGTATGTTAGAGATTGGAAGGGACCTCAAAAGATCATCTAGTCCAATCCCCCTGCCGGAGCAGGAACACCTAGATAAGGTTACACAGGAACGTGTCCAGGCGGGTTTTGAATGTCTCCAAACAAGGAGATTCCACAACCTCCCTGGGCAGCCTGTTCCAGTGTTCCGTCACCCTCACTGAGAAGTTTCTTCTCAGGTTTAAGTGGAACCTCTTGTGCTACAATTTGTACCCATTACCCCTTGTCCTTTCATTGTTTGCCACTGAGAAGAGCCTGGCTCCATCCTTGTGACACTCCCCCTTTATATATTTATATACACTAATAAGGTCACCCCTCAATCTCCTCTTCTCCAAACCATAGAGACCCAGCTCCCTCAGTCTTTCCTCATAAGGGAGATGCTCCACTCCCTTAATCATCTTAGTTGCCCTGCGCTGGACTCTCTCCAGCAGGTCCCTGTCCTTTTTAAACTGAGGGGCCCAGAACTGGACACAATATTCCAGATGAGGTCTCACCAGGGCAGAGTAGAGGGGAAGGAGGACCTCTCTCGACCTACTAACCACCCTCCTTCTAATACACCCCAGGATGCCATTGGCCTTCTTGGCCACAAGGGCACAGTGTCGGCTCATGGTCACCCTGTCGTCCACCAGGACCCCCAGGTCCCTCTCCCCTACACTGCTCTCTAACAGGTCGTTCCCCAATCTATACTGGAACCTGGGGTTGTTCCTGCCCAGATGCAGGACTCTACACTTTCCCTTGTTATATTTCATCAAGTTATTCCCCGCCCAGCTCTCCAGCCTGTCCAGGTCCCTCTGGATGGCAGCACAGCCTTCTGGCGTGTCGGCCACCCCTCCCAGCTTAGTGTCATCAGCAAACTTGCTGATAGTACACTCAATTCCCTCATCTAAATCGTTGATGAATATATTAAATAATACTGGTCCCAGTACCGACCCTTGAGGCACTCCACTAGATACAGGCGTCCAACTAGGCTCCGCCCCATAGACTACAAATGTGGATGTGGAAGATTCAGTTCTGACTCAGTTCTCCAGAGCCCTAGGTCTGTGATATGTGTAAAGCAGTTTCTCTTTCTTGGAGAAAGTCCATGTACTCAGTAGCTTTTACAATAATTGACATTGGTCTTTTCTAGAAAGGTACTTAAGTTAGCACAGGACTGAAGAGGAGTCAGAGACCTTTGCAACAAAGCTGTCAGGGAGGAAGGTCAAGAAACATCAGTATCCCTTGCCATAGTACCTGTTAATCTTGGAAAACTGAGCACCCACATGTTGTCTATGAGGAGACTCCAATGTTGTTCTCAACCCATAAGGAATGACTCAAGGCTTATACTGGTGATAAATGCTCTTCCAAGTTATTGCAAGCATGGTCCTGATGACAATGCATTAATCACAACCAATGACAAAATGTTTTCTGGACCAAGTGTTACGTGATCTTAGATATCTTTGTAAAAAGTGATCAAAACAAATCACTTCTATAAGAACAAGCACTGCATTATGTTCCCTCTGTATCTCAAACCATCTTGTTCCTCATGCCTCATCTAGGTATGTTTTTTCACCCACACAGTGGACATACTATTCTTTTTGTAAACTAACTGCTACAGTTTGCTTTCCTGATGAGTTTTTAACAGCACATTTAAGCCCTGTTAGCAGTTCATCTATCAGCCACTGCTTCTGTGAGGCTCAAATAGTCAATGCTTCAGAAAATTCTTCCTGTGAGCATTATATGGCTGGATGCATGCCATGGCAGTGCCTACACCGCTAGGTAAGCACATCTTCTCAAGCTCACAGCAGAAGCTATTCCTATCTCTGTATTGGAAAAGCCTGCCTACTGTGATTGCAGCCTGCTCTCACTGTCTCTGTGACTCTTCACAGCCTGTCAGTTTTTCTATTGACACTTTTCCAGTTCATCACAACCTCTCTCTTTTCTGTAGGCTTGCTTCTGTAAGAGTGAAGTGCTTAGACTGCCTCAAACCAGCAAGTGGTACATTAACTCCTCCGAAATCATGTGTTTGAGTCTGTGTCCATGTTCACTCCGTTAGCAGTTCCTTTTTATCCTTCTTTGGTTTACCTTCACATGTTCACACAGACAGCAATACGAAACTGAAGAGAGAAAACAAGTCACACATAAAATATTCATGGAAGACAAGATAGATACTTTCCCAGTTTGTCATCTCTGTCTGAGATTCATCTCCTGGCTAATCTGTTGCAAAGTCTTATGTTCTGCAGAAGACTTAGGTTTTATCCTCATATGATGCAAGTAATCTGTCTATTTGTGTCTGAAGGCTTTATTTAATTCTTACTCTTTTCCAAAGGAAATGAACAGTCTGTTTTATCTAGAAAATTGTTAGTTGCACATTTCTTCTAAAATAGTCTTTTCTGTCTTGTCTCATTTTATGGCTCATGCAGATTTGGACCTTGTTCATGGAACACACAATGACTTTTCACTGCAGCATATCTGAGTGATTGTTAGATTTTTTTTCCCTTTTCCTTTTCGTAGACAATTTTCTTTGTCATTACTGGTATTATTACATTCATGGAAGAATATATTGGGGAACAAAAAGACAAAGATATGTTCTACTACTGTTTTTTCTTTCCTGAATGAGCAACAGCAAGGGAAGTGGGAAAAAAAGGCCTGCAGTCTCCAAGTAGCATCCTCTAACTATGAATACAGAGTAAACCAAATACTAAGCAAGAAACACACACCACAAGGTAGTCTTTACTTAGACTTAGGCAACAGTGACTGTTCTGTTGACACCAAGTGTTGAAAATAGCCTTAAACACTGTGCTGGTACCATTCCTAATTAACTGTTTCAAAGTATTTTTTCAATATCTAGGATATTGATGAGATTTAAATTTATTTATTTATTTAAGATAATTTAAAGCACTTCAAATTATAGCTCAGAACAAATTTGTTCAAATAATGTTAGGCTCAGTGAACTACAGCACAAACACATCTTGAACAATTTAGTAAGTGAAGCCACACTGGAAGGCTAGCATATGATGAGTGTCACGCTGTTTAGGTGAGGGAAAAATAAAGTTGGGAGTAAAGCCATATAATCATA